GAGACGGTCATACAGGAATTTCTTTTTAATCTGGTTTATTTGACATGGAATGACCCTACAATAGGTCAAAGGTCAGAATGTACCGTTTCCGGCCCCTATTTGAATATTTTTTTCATTAGGACGAATATAAACATGAATCTTCTGAACAATTTGCAATCAATTGTGAGTCTCTATGACCAGTAGTTACTGAGATATGACATTACAAGGTCAAAGGTCAAACTTTCAAAAACCGCATTTCCCGCTATTTTCTGATAAAAAGTTGTATTACAACAAATAAGAACATGTATATTGTGAACAATTTGAGACCAAAATCAAGTCTCTCTGACCAGTGGTTATCGAGATACAAGCGTCCAAATCAACAGGCGGCCATTTTGAAAAATGCCCCCAAACGGGACTTTCCCCCAATATCTGGGAGGTATATAGGAGCTATATTTTATCTAAATTGGTCCATCTTGCCAAATCCATCGAGAAACAAAGGTATCCTAAAATTAGTCACGGATCTCATGAAAATGACTCTACTATGGTGTGGATACTTTTAAAACTGTGACAAATTTTGTCAGAAACTTTGGAAAAAATAAACTTCACTGAATCAACTCACCCTAGTTGGTAAATAATTATAAAAATATAATGAAAATATAACACAAATTAGAAGTTTATAAGATGTATTTAAAAGGTAGAAAATGATCTTAAAGACAGCATGTTTTTAAGTCAATCATAGGCCTAGGAAAGTTATGCTCACCCAACCGTGACAGCATTGTTATGCAGGCTGAACAGCAGAGCACAGCCCTTCACAGTTCAGCACTTAGGCCTATAATAGTATTAGTTTCATATATACCATATTATTACAAAAGAATGTTTGAATTGACACTGTATTTTATAATAAATGTTTTTCTTTCTCTAGTTTATTTGTACAGAATTTTAACTGATTTAATTTATTAATTGATTATAAAATTTGATTGAAATTTTGACATTTAAATTGGAAATAAAATTCAAAAAGAACTGCCGAAAAGTAGATTAAAAAATACCGAGATGGTGTCCAGAGGAGAATTTTTACCATGTAATATTGCAAAATTATAATCTTATAATTCCGGTCCTGAAAAATACCAGGATGGTGTCTGGCGGGGATAGCTTTTATCCTGTACATTAAGATTATATTATTATTTGGTGGCCATTTTGAATTTGGCAGTCATTTTGAATTTGGCAGCCATTTTGAATTATAGGTCAAACCACCATTTCAACTTTAAAATTCCATAGGGTTCAGAATTTTTTATGTTAATGTGACAGTCATAATATGGCGGCCATTTTCATTATGGCAGCCATTTTTAACGTGGTGGCCATTTTTAAAATGGCGGCAATTTTCAATGTGGCACCCATTTTAAATTTTTTAAATAATAGATCCAATCACTATTTCACAAATCTTTTGATGTTATTACAGCATTTATTATAATAATGCAAATACATATATATTTTATTTTGGCCACCATTTTGAATTCGGCAGCCATGTTGAGCCTATCCGCCATTTTTATTCTGTTCATCGGTTAAAAAAGTAAAATCTTGAATGTTACTGCTTTCTGAAAATATATAGTTTTATACAATAAATATGAATAATTAAGGTTTTATGAGTGTTTTTTGTTAATTATTGCCTACAATTAGCCAGAAAATTACCATTTTCATGGTCTACCAACATACAGGATTATCTGAATTTCGATCCCAAAATTTTCTTCGACCATCGATCACGTTTTATTTCATAACCCGATAAGTAAAAAAGATAATTTGATGGGGTTTGGACTATTTTACTCAGCATTAAATTCTCTATCAGAATAAACCATTTAGAAAGTCTAATTCATATAACATATGTTTGCCTGTGAACACCCTACAATCATTGTTTGTCAAAAAACGACTGCCTAAGACGACTGAAAAGCGGAGTTTCCTTCTTTCGTTCTGCCCGGTAAAATCAATTACTTTAGGCGACGTTTGTAGACTAACCTACTCGTACCAACGTCCGCATGTCGCGCTAGCCTTATCCTACTCTAGGCCTAGACTAGTTGGGATGGTATAGGCCAAGCCTTGAAGGGACGAAGGCCCCAATGAAAAACAACGTCGCTCTTTGATAGCTAACATTGTCTATTTAACATCACAATAATTCATTATTAGACCTATAGTTGTTTTTTGAATTGTACTCCACAAATCTCAGCCGATACTGCACTGCACTGGCTTACGTCTCTATCTATTGTCGTGACGTCACGGCTCGCTGGCTCACACTTGTGATATGTCTCGCACTTGTGATCAAATAACACGCTGGCTCGCACTTTGGCAACACTCTTTGGCAGAAAACCTAGAAAACCCGCACTTGGAAACTTGCGACATAAAAAAATGTACACTTCCTAGACCATGCAGTCTTCAAAATAAAAATTGTAACCTTTGTTAATCAACTACATTTTCCACATACATAGAAATTTTTGAAACTTTATTTAAAAAAATCTAAACCATAATTCACCACACTATAGACACTTTTTGACAAAAATGAAAAATTACGACTTTGTTACCCAATGAGAAGTGTTCTAATATAGACAATGGGTCGGGTCTCATATTATTTGTTATAGTTTTATTATTCATTATTTTCACTTGACTCGCATAAATAATTTTGTTCGAAGAACATTTATATGCAGTTGTACTTCGCAGCATTTCACTTGGAATTTGCAATTTCTAATAATATACTATAGGCCTGGTCCTATGAAAAACTGTCTAGGCCTAGGCCTGAATGTCTAAAAAATGTCACTGTCTAAAGGTGATGTACTATAACACTACAGTATATCATCAGAGCCAACACCAATTCCTGTAACAATAAGATTATTATTGATATACTGTAGGCCTAGAAGCTTGGCTATACAACAATAATGCCCCATTAAATAATAACATGATGCATATGTTACTCCAAACCTAACTCTCAGCTGTTGTTGAAATGTGCAGTTCAAATAAAATATTATACATATATATTTTTGTAGGACAAGATATGTGATAAGCCGAAACATGACACTCTCCTCACATAAGTATTTGCCAGTCGCCATGATGAGACAAACATACCACAACATTTGCCATGAGTACAACCACCCAACATTGGCATCTACGAAAGAAGGTGGTACAAAGCATACAAGCACCCAGCAAGATGTTAGCAAGAAACACTGGTTGTTTGCTGAAACTTGTAATGAAAGCTATACACACAATTTAAGGTGAGCAAAAGAAAATTAAGTGAATATCTCATCACTGTTCAGCCAGAGTACATGAAACAAATACAGTATATTGGAATGGTAAAAAATATCAGCATGGTGTGTCAGTTTTATTAAGAAACAACAATAATACATTACACACTAGCCGACAGGAAGGCTTCAATCAAGTAATTAAAAAATCTGAAAGTACCGTCAATTGATGAATGTCTTTTCAGATTAGTACATAAAGTATCTCAGTATGGTATCTTATTGATAAAGCAACAAATGCCAATGTTTGATAACATTTTTGATTTTTAACAAACCTGGTTACTGTATTTATTCCTCAATAGGAGCAAATGACTGGCTCAGATGGATGTGATGCAAACAATTCCATCTGTGTGGACATGATGAAATGGACATGCCCAATCCATGGTTAGCAGAAGGTGGCGATGCTCAGAGCTCTGCAGCAAGTGATTGAATCCAAAATATTTCCAAAGAATTAAATTAAAACGATTTATCTAGTGATTTTTTTTCTGAAGATATACTGAAATGCCACACACTTAAGTTTTTGTTTTTTATGCATCTGGTTTATATTGCATGCCAAATTTATAATAAATACTGTACCAGTATTACTGTACCTGTTTCACTTGCAAAATATCTTTAATATTATTAAATGGTATTATAATCCTTTTGAAGCAAATATGTGACCCAGATTTAGAAAACAATTGTGAGGATTAATTTTGAAATATGTAATGTGCGAAGTTGATAGTACAGTATGAAAATGTGGCTCAATATATACAGGAACAAAATGGCTTTGTACAGTCTTGTGTAAAGTTATTCTATGAAACTGCTTATTTTTTTAATGTCTGGATTATGCCTATGTCTGCATGCTGATCAATTTGGTATTGGAATTGGAGAAAAAGCTTCAATTTTTTTGCTGTACACCATTTTTTTGTTTAGTATTTTAAAATACAGTAGTTGAACTTGCCTATGTCATATCCAAAATGCCATTGAGAAATTGTTTGACCCTAACAAAATTTGACTTGCACTTACGGTAATGGAAAACACAACAATTCGGCATGTAAAATTAGATCGACTTAGAAATTATTAGAGTATATTATTAGTCGTCTTGGGCAAGTTTAACTGCTCTATTTATCATGTTTGATCGTCTTGTATTATTTAGCATAGCCAAGATTTCTTCTTTCATGATGATATTCAACATCCATATTTTTGGTGCTTCACTTAATTATTGTTGTACATACAGTAAATTCAAGACTACTGGTGTTATTAAATAAATATTTTGAAACAATTTATCATCCTTGTACATTGCAAATAATTTATTACAAGTGTATTTTCTCGCAGTTAATATAAAATTGTTTTACTGTACAGAGATTAAAGCAGTCAGGTATTACAATATATATCACTGCATTTTACACACTCTATTTATTATCAAAATATTATATATATGGATTTATAGTTACTATAGTTTATACCAATGTAAAGAATAGGGAAGAAAAAGTTACATTTATTTTACTGTACACAAAATTCTAATTCATACTGTATTAGCTTAAAATTTTAAAGTATGAGACGAGAGTGGGGAAGATACAAAAAACATTGTACTGTACTTAACAACAAAATGTTCTTGAAATCAACTTTGCTGGCCTATCCACATCAATAGCAACAATTTCAATGGGTCTGGAAGGTTACACACAATTGACTGGTCCAGATATACAAAAGCTCTAGGCCTGTGCTGACAAAATTTCCTTCCATGAGTGATGAGATTGTCAAAAAAACAAATCCTTGACGTGGAGCACTTCCAGTAAAAGGTGGCTGAGTTGTCGTAGTGTGTCTTGTTTCTTTGAGATTAAACTTTGGAAAATCTTGTAAACGCTTGGTTAAGCACTTTTCCACTGCCTCTGGTGCACCATATGTTTCGTCGAGCAGGTTCCATACATGTCGTAGAGCTTCGCATGGATCCTCAATGTAGACTGCATGCAGCGGAGCAACAAGTTGTCTTGATTTTTCTCCGAGCCACTTCATCACAACATTAATTTCTTGATTTGTTGGAACATTCAGCTCTTTGATAGTATTAGAGAGTGTGATTTTCCAAGCTCGGTAAGATGCTGCAGTGTCATCAAATTGTCGAAGACTTGAGCTTAGTAGTTCTTTGCGAAACAGGACATTTCCTATTTCAGTCATTACAGTTGAGGTTTCAGGTGGTTGAACCATGTGACTGCAGAATCTATTGTCTTTGATGGAGTTTTCTTGTGGTTCTAGTTCCTTCTTGACACCTACAGTTGGGTTCTCCAAATTCACTGCAACGTTAAATGGCATTTGTACATCATCTCTAAATGATGGTGGAGGCAAGATGAGTTCATGTTCAGGATTTGATGCCTGATTGACGAACGGTGGGGGTAGAATCTCATCGTTTTCAAGAACCGGTACATGATTGGGGGATGGTGGCGGTACAAATGCCTCGTTTAATGTAATCTGGTCATTAACAGAGTCATTGTCAGTCAGGAAATCGCTGAAGACATCGCTTACATTACCCACGCTCAAAGTGTCGAAGTCAGAATTTATTTCTACGTTTAGAGACGATCCTAGCAATGAGTCTGCTCTGGCTTGACAAACTGCAACATGTTCCTCAGCGTCCAACACTCTAACCTACATGATAGTGATTTGGTTCACTTTTAGGAATCCTGTCTCGGCCTGTTTCAGATTTTTTATGCTTTTATTTTGTTGTATTGTAACCGGTTGTTGTTTTTTATGTATTTTATTGAGACAAAATAAATTAAATGAAACATCTGCTTCTGCTATTGCCTGCATTCTCAGCAAGCCTGCTCTCTTCTTTGCAAACTCAGATCTTGCTTTGGCCATGGCCAGATCTGCCCTCGCCTGAGCATGGCTAATAGTGACTTTACTTCTTCTGCTACTCACAGACGACCCTACTTCAGACATTTCGTGCAAGTTTCCACTCACAGAGACTTAAAACTTAAAATGTGACCTCCAAGTCACAAATTATACAGCAAGGCACATTAACAGAAACTCACAACGCGTAAACACCGACTTGTGTCAAACGGTTTTAACTGAAATTTAATAACAAAAAAGATCCAGAATTAACATTTGGAATATCCAATTATTCCAACAATATATATATGTAATTGAATGACCTATATTACTCACTCCTAATAAAACATTGGCATATAACACAAATCCACATAAAAACAAGTTATTCATGTACCCTTCAACAGTTTTGGCTATTATAGTTATCAACAGTGTTCTGCGACTGCGCACTTACGGTGCCTACTCAAGCAGAACGGGCATGTTCAGACATAACATGAAGCATGGTCTCATCATTTGTGGTTAGCGATGCAAACAATAACATGTCATTATAACCGATTATAACTAAACTACATCTTAAAACACAGTGAAAATCTAAGATAATTCACTTTCTGATAATCATAACAGTTGGCATAATTTAACCAATATAAGCCCCATACTAAAGATTAAAATGTATTCAGGGCGATCACAATCCCAACGCTTGACATGGTAAGCTTAAGCCTAGGCATGCAATGTCAAATTAATACGGCGTTGAACTTGTTACAAAAAACTACTAATTTACAATGAACCGGGCATAACTAAATCCCATGCTACATAGCATTGGTTCTTAAACAGTTACTAAATAAAATGAACGATATATCAACATACGTCTATCTGCGATTATGCCTTTGGAATGAATTTAGGTTGACGAAAGAATTGGTTGATGACTGTCCATTTTCGGCAAAACAACACCGTGATGTGACCTGGTTATGAGAGGCAACATGATACATGAATTGAACATATAAGTAAAGTATGAAACGTCCGCAGCGACATGTACTCAAGCCGTAATATATAATATAATAATAACGTACATAATATAATAAAAGACATAAATAATATAACATGATACCTACATAATATAATAACAAACGTAAATAGTATAATACTAAACATATATAATATAGTAACAAACGTATACAATATAATAATAAACCTACGTAATATAATAATAACGTACATAATATATTACTAAATGTAAATAATATAATACACGTACGTAATATATTAATAACGTATATAATATAATAATAAATGTAAATAATATAACAATAAACATATTTAATATAATAATAAACGGGCATAATATAATAATAAATGCATATAATATAATAATAAACATATAATATAATAAACGTACATAATATACTAATAGGCATAAATAATATAATAATAAACATATATAATATAATAATAATTTTAAATAATATAATAATAAATGTAAATAATATAATAACAAACGTAAATAATATAATAGCAAACATAAATAATATAATAGTTTTTGTAGGCTTACTGTAAGACAGCTGGGGCTTGCCATATATTATCGTGAAGCTTTGATATATTTTGGTCAAATTAGCAATGACATTGTTAATGAATGCATTTTATGATGGAAGTTGATAATGATGATTATGCATGTTAATGATATCATTATGTCATGTTTTGATGTTAAATTGCAGCTTTACTGTGCTGTTTGTTTGTCTGTTGATTTGATTGTTGCTCAGTGAGATACTAAATTGCTGTTATTGTGATTGTTGGGTCAATGGTTTTGCTGATAGGAAGGTGAAGGAGCAACTACGTGTTGGCGCCGATTCGTGTGTTGCGACTCTTATTATTTGTCGGTATGATACAAGCACTGCAAAAGTAAGACGGTTTCAGTGAGATTTGAAATTGAAGTTCAATCTCTAAATATTCCTAATACTTTATGTGACAGTTGTGTATTTATATCTGGCTGTTTAATAAGTTCATATAGAAACAGCTACTATCACATATAAACCATTAAAAATCAAATTGTCTTGGTTCATTGTTGAGATCTAGTATCTGAGGACATAATCAAATTACCTTGAACTTGGGCGCTAATCAATCTTATATCTAAGAGTAAACAACTGTACACCTTCATGGTTAGCGTAAAGAGCGTCAGGCAGCAGTTCAGAGTCAGTTTTGCGGTCTAAAGAAATGCTACTGCGGTTAATATTTGGTATATACATTCTTAGATACATCATAAAGAGTTTATCTAATAATAAAATTTAGTGTATTACATACGATTTTCTAAAAAAAAAAAAAACTTTTATTTGACAGGTATTTTCAAAACAATAAAAAGACGACATGTGACGATTGATGAAGAATTTTCGAAAACATGACCCAATATTGACATATGCAAAAGAGTTTTGGCCTCTAAAACATCAAATTATCCAATCAGAATCCGCTTTTTAAATAAATTTACAAAGCCTATGTGTTTGCCCTCTGCAAAATCGCGTATCATTAATTGGAACCGGATTACAGTGAGTGACGTCACGGTTTCTGTCCTGCCTATTTCACATTATTGAGATAAACGACGGTAAGCGTTATATGGGCACCAGTTCCATCAGATCATGAATAATTAATGACGATGGTATTGTGGCGGATTCGGCCAAGCAGTCTCAGTCTAGTCTAAGTCCTGCGTAAGTAAGTCTGTCGGACACGCCGTCAGGTAATACGGATCGACTATTGAATAAACTTCAAACAAAATTAACTGAGTTTCTCATAGCATTTATTGGGTCAATAAAACTGGTACCATTATCAA